GATCAGTATATGAACCTCCTTGTACGCCCTCCTTACTCATAGTGTTTCAGAGGAGTCAAATGATGCTTCTAAACAGTGAAAAGATTCTGACTCTGTTCCTGTTAATGCTCATGAGGTAAGCAAGCATGGAGTATCATTTTCCGTTGTTTTCTATGTTTTGCTGGTAGGGTAAAAATGGGCATTTGGAAATGTATTTATTTGCACCAAAGGTTACTACTGAATTTGGTCTTTGAAAACACGTCAAACATTATGATTTAGGTTTCTTGGTTAAATTTTTATGTCTGTTGATGAGGAGGGATTCTTATTCATATTGCCGGTTTGGTTTTATGTGCCCATTGTGGGCACAATTGGACAAGTCTTAGGTTCAGGTTATCAATCACAAAAGGGAAATGGGAGTATAAGTTGTTGGTTAATTATAGGGCTTTAATTGATATGAACCTTGAGAATTGTTATTTTTGATTAGTTACTGACTTACTGGTATACTTCTTGAAAAGGCAATAAGAACATCAAGTGTTTTGGAAATTGGAATATGAAGTATAAATGAGGACTAGTTAATCAAGTAAAAAATATTGCTTGGGAGTTGTAACATTCTATTTCTTATTTTAGGATTTATTGCCTACAATGAGGAAAAAAGTAAGAGCAAGACCCAGCCTGATGCTGAAGTAGTTGTTTTCTTTCTACTTTCTGATCCTAGGTGCCCAAGTTAAATGGAAATCTTCATGAGATTTTGTATCGAATATTCTCTGTAATATTAATTTTGTCTTGTAAAGGAATTTTTCTCTTTTGCTAAAACTCAAAAGGAATTTGTTCAAGTCATGGTTGCAAAGTAAAAATGCTAACTGCTAAGAATTTCTGTGGGTTTGTGTGAGTAAATTTTCGTTAGTGGGTAGTATTTTTTTCCTGATTTATCTTCTATCCATTAAACTACTGGACTCTGGTTTTGTACTTATTGTTCTATGTTTTTGATTACGTGGGTCAAGAAATGGAAAATAAACTGTCTAGTGTACGACATCAGACTAATAAACCAACTTTATCCTCAATTGTCAAAATTCAGGCTTCTGCCCGTGAGTTTGCAGAGGCTATTCATGCTTATCGAGTAATTTTTCCAGACTCAGAAAAGCAACTAATTAAACTTGCTCAAGACTTGATTAGAAAGTGAGTAAACTTAACCAAAATTTTTTGTTGTCCTAATGTTATGACAGTCACTTTTTGTTCATTGAATTATTACCTGTGTAGCATTTTATCATTCAGGTTTTTATTTTCAGGCACTTGGAAACAACTGAACAGCATGTAAAGAAACGAATTCTTCAGCCAACCTACTGAGTGTTCTTCGTAAGGAGTCTAACTAAATTTGCTTATTCCATCGTCTTCTCTTTGATCTCTGCTCAGGAATGAAGCATTGATCATAATTAATCAGGTAGACAAAAAGCTGGTAGTTTCTGCAACTGTTCTTTATTAGTTGGCAGATCTCTCCTCAGTGTGAGATTAACTGTAAATTGTCAAAACCATCTTGTATGACTGCCAAAAGTTTGGCAACAATTACAAACAACCAATAAACTTCTCACTGGTTAACTAAAGCTCCCAACATAGTGTTTCAAATTGGCTACTAAAGAAATGGAAACTCCCACAAGCTTTTTTATAGGTTCAGATAAGCTGTTTATCTTTTTTCGATATTGACCGTAGGTTTGATGTTTTCACTGTAATGCCTGCAGTTCTTTCCACAAATGATGGTTTCTTTGTATCTCTCTGACTAATCTTTCTCTATTCATTTTTGTGCTGTCTGGTTTATAACGGAAAATGTTTTGGATTGTATTTTTTTATTTTCGTAGAGTGGAATTTTTCTTAGCAAATTATAAAAGGAAAGAGATCCTAAAAACCTTGTGCTGTTAGTGGTTTAGTGTCCTTTCAGGGATGATTTGATCGTATGCATATAGACTTGTTAAATGCCAATATTGAGAGCACCTTTTAATCCTCTTACTTATTGGGCATTTGCTTCAACCTGTGAGAATAGTTCAAGTTCATGAGCATATAGGTGCTTGAGCTTGACACCAGTAACGTTTGGTTGCTTTCTATTTGTTGGATACGATCTATTTTCTTTAAATTTGGGTTCTTTTTGAAATCATTTATATTCATCTTCGATAAAGAGGATGAATAGAATTTCTTTTGAATTTTGCATTGGACCTCTTCTTTTGCGACTTAAATTTGTTTTTTCAAATGCTTGTTGCCATTTGAATGCAGGAATTATATGGACAGATGTGCTTCTGATGGATGATGTATTGCACGAAGCTGTTCTTCCTGACTTCTCTCTGGAGGTTGTCATTCTCTTTTGAATTTCATTTGTATTTATACTCATTATGATCTATACTTAATTTCTTTTCACTTGTATTTTACTTTTATGATCTCTAGATTCTCTTCTAAAATTCTTTCTCCATTCATAAGTGGAAATGTACTTCTATTCATACTGATAGATGGAAATGGTATAATGACTATTGAGCAAACCCTATGTGGTTTCAGGCTGCCCAGATTGCTGTTAGAGAGTGTATCATCAGCACATTTTCACATCTTCTACAAGATATATCAGGTTCTTTCTATTGTCACTGTCACCCAAAATTTGTTTTTGTCCTTTGGGAGCTTCAAATACCCAAAAATAGCAACACTAGGACATATTGGGTTTCAGAGTATTCCTTCTGTGGTCAAGAATCTGGTTAGGCTTTGAATTAAGGAGAAATCATTTTACAGTGAGATGTACCCTTAATATGACTAGGAAAGTACCATAATCAGAAAGAGAATTACTAAATTGATTAATTACTAGGCTCTAAAGTATATGCTTTCCACACATTTTAAGATAGGTTTGCTAGAATTAAGAGAGATCCTAGTGACATTTTGAACTCAGCAATTAAGATGGTAATTCTCTGGATTTGAGGAAATGAATTCGTTTGCAAAATAACAATGCCGACTTTAATG